TAGCTTTCTAGATTATACAGCTTTTAACGCTACACTCTGACGTATATTCTGTTTTCTTTTAAGAAATAAGGAAAAAATGGAAGCTTAGTTTCATCTAGAAGAAAATGTGCCACTTGCAACGTCGAAAACCGATCCTACATAATTTCACTTATTACGAAAACACTACATGACCCTTTATTTTGATTTGTACAACTTTTCAAGCTGCATCATGTGTTATATAAGCTTTAATTTGTGGATTGTAGAGTTTTAACGCTGTATCTTTTGGTGTATTCTATGTTTTAATAAAATATATTTAGACATTAAAGTATTAAATAGAAAACTGGCCATTAGTTATGGGGCACCCGTTATGTATATGGTTACTATTTATCGTAATTATTCAAACATCAAGCCATAGGGTTCCATCAATTCGTACAATTAATTGTGATAAATAAAGAACTACGTAAATCTTTATTAAAATGAATACTATCATAAAGAGTACAATAAAAATCAACAAATATGCGTGCTAAGGTCATACAGCTCAGAGATACCAGCCTGACCTGGTCGCCTGCCAGTTCAGGCTACAGGATCAGGCTGATTTTTCGCATATTAGCCTGGCCTGATGCAGGCCAGGCAAATAACAAACAGGCCACCAGCTCAGGCAAGACTAACCTCTCTAGCCTGCTCAAAATTGACTGAGAATGATTGTATCTATTGAATTTCGTATTACCCATGTAGACGATAATGTACAACAATGGACATTATTTCCCATTATTTTCATAAATAATGTGCATAATGAAATTATAATGCAACCTATTTCATGCATTATCTTCGAAATAATGGGAAAATTTTCCAATAATTCATTGGTTTTTAATAAATTATTTGATATTTTATCATTATTTCCCTGAAATGCATTAATATACATTAAAATGTAAAAATCTAATGAAATCTAATTAATTAAAAATTTTCACACTTTCAATGCGTTTGATTCCGTTAGATTTTTAAATTTTAATGCATTTCAGGGAAATAATGATAAAATTTCAAATAATTCATTAAAAAACAATGGATTATTGGAAAAGTTTCTCATTATTTGGAAGATAATGCATGAAATAGGTTGCATTATAATTACATTATGCACATTATTTATGAAAATAATAGGAAATAATGCCCATTGTTTTACATTATCGGCTACATGAGTAGGTGTCGTCATAATCCATTTACAAATTCAGAAAAAAAGAAAGCGAATAAGGATTGAATTGAATTTACTCCCACGGTTATCACTAAAGGTACAATAAAAAAGATAAATCAAAGGCGAAGACAAAGTAGTCAATGGGTTTTAATCTTTTATTATTTTATAACAATTCGTATTTATAAATTGTCTAATAGTGGTTGCTTCTTATGTGAAATGCTAGTGGTTTTAATTCAGAGAGTTTTTCTTTTCTAATATATAAAACAACTTTTAAATATTATTACTATTAAGAAAAGAAATAAATAATCACATTAGTCCTCAACATCAAGACTAAAAATGGAACCTAATGAATATGTTATAAAAAATACACATAGCGTTTTTGGTTTAATGTACGCCTACAGGACAGGCCAGAAAAAAGTGGCCTGTTGGCATCTCTGATACAGCTATCATGAAAACAATGTGTTGTTAAATTTTTCTCAGCAATATGGCTGATGACAATATTCACTCAAGATGAGTAAAATAAATTCTGATTGATAGCTCATAGCAGAATTGAATTCAGTGGTTTTTCTTTTTGACAAAATTAGATGTAGAGCCACATGTTGAGTGTGTATTATAAAGAATAAAAAAAATTGAATTCTACATATATTTTTAAGAATAATCATAGTTGAATAAAAATAAAAAATATGAAGAAAATTAGCTACACACGAACCGAAGATCTTCCTACCATAGATCATATTATCAAGATGATATTTACTTGGGAAGCACTGCCGCAACCTTGTGTGATCCAAGGGGAAATACCGTGCGACCAAATGTTGTATTGATCATGACAGCGGCCGAACCATACCAAGCAACAAATGCTGTCACGATTCCGAACCATCCGCCAACATTTGTTACGACTGGCTTTTGAGCAAGTTCTCCAATAATGAGAAGTATTAAGGTTATAATAAGAACAAAAAATAAAATAAAAAGCATTCGTGAAACACGAAAAGAAGCAACACACATATACGCAGTGAAAAGGAGCCATGAAAAGAGAAAAAGTCCTGTTGCTTGATATGCTTTGCCTGTACTTTCCAGTTGAGGAACAATGTAGTATATGTAGCCAGCAAATGACATCCAGAAACAACCATAACTAGTGAATGCTGTAGCACCAAATGTATTTTGAATACGAAATTCCCACATGCCTGCTGCAAATTGACCAATGCCACCATAGAATAATGCAACAGGCAGAATTACAGTTAAAACAGCAGGATTGATCAAATTCGAGCCAGCATTGAATACTGAGAGCATGAAGGTGGTCAGAGCAAAAGCACCAAGACCAAGTGGGGTAGGGTTGCCGAGAGCAGTTGGAGATGGAGGTGGACCTTGGATAACTGTTACATTTCGGATTGGAAGAACTCTTCTTGTTATCATTTTTGTAGTTTATTTGTAAAAATCAAAAATTGGATGAAATGTTCTAATAAAATGTTTGCGTTCTTAAATGCTTCTCTTGTCTAGTGTTTGATAGACGCAGTGATGATCAAATTGGGTAGGTAGGCTCTGTTGAATTTGTAATTAATTCAGACTCAAGGGGGAAAAAGCTGATTGTCTGATTGCCTAGATTGCCATTGATTGTCATTGATTGCCATTTGATTGCCATTGATTGCCATTTGATTGTCATTGATTGTCATTGATTGCCATTTGATTGTCGAGGATTGTCGATGATTGTCGATGATTGCTAATGATTGCGAATGATTGTCAATGATTGTAAATTGATGTTTATATTTAAAAATAGCGGAAACAGTTTTTTTCTGACTTATTTCAAACATTCATCTCTCAATATTATGAAAATACTTGATTTTAACGATGAAATTCGTTATTAGACTAGTGAAATTAGTAATGCAGTGATTATATAAAGAATGACAATTTCTTGCGAGAAAACTATGAAAAGCAGCTAAAACCTGATTTATTCTGTTTAAATAATTTGTCAGAAATATATTGCATGTAGTAGTTCACTATGACAAAGTTCGAATTGAGAAAAAAGCAACAGTTAACTCTGTTTATTAGTCATAACACGTTTCAAACGATCCGATGACAAAGTCGGCTTATCATTTGAAAGTAGCCATACGGCTGCTTGTTTGTGCAGATACTTTTTCGTGCCGTTGATATTGAGAACAAAAGATGACTTTGCCAAGTTGGGGTTGATAGAATCAAAAACTCGCATTCCTTGATATGTCATCCCACTGACATTCAAAACGTTATTCGATAAATCTTCATCATCTCGAATTGAATCATCATCGTCTGATTCATCTTCAAATGTATTTTCTTCTTCGTCCTCAATACCATCACCTGAATCTGATGACAAATCTGTTTCATTTTCAGACGGGATGGAATAGTCAACTATTTGTAATTTTTGCAGTTGAAGACGGGTTATTCGAGACAATTCATCCAAACTTGGAATGTCATTACGATGATAGATATTTACCTCGCACATAACGCGGGGAGCATCCGAATAGGCTTGCAAAATAGATGCTTCTATCATTTCAATTTTCAGCGGCATGTCTGAAGATGTATTTTGTCCAGTGGGGACAATTTTAGAATGTTTGTGATGGCTTGGAAAGAGAAAATTAGCATCAGATCTGGTAGTATGATCATTGTTGTTTCGGTATATAATTGAATGGAGATACGATAACTTTTTTACACGCTGTATAAATTGTTCGACAGTGAAGTTAACAATGGATGAAAATGGTCCTGACATAGATCGACATAAACGAAACCCTCTTTCACAAGATTGAGAGTTAAATAAAGATACATTCAGACATTCTTCTGGTAATTGACATTCTATAACCAGTAATGCGATATATACCAGCGTATGACTATTGATTTCGATTGAAAATAGCAATGGATGACGCAAATGAATTACAGAGTAATTCAGAAGAAATGAATTACAATATAACTCAGAGCTAAAACTAAATTTCTACAGATATCTTCCAGAGTCTACATATATCTACCAGGGTCTACAGCTATTTACCAGGGTCCACAGCTATTTACCAGGGTCTACACGTATTTACCATGGTCTACAGCTATTTACCAGGGTCTACATGTATCTACCAGGGTCTACACGTATTTACCAGGGTCTAAAGCTATTTACCAGGGTCTACACGTATTTACCAGGGTCTAAAGCTATTTACCAGGGTCTAAAGCTATTTATCAGGGTCTACAGATATTTACCAGGGTCTACACGTATTTACCAGGGGGTGTGGGTGTGGGTGTGGATGCTACGAAAGGCTGAAAACAACGTGTACACACATACATAACATCTTAACTGTGGGTGCCACGATAGGCTGAAAATCAATCAGTTAGCATGAATGAAAACCGTGCCCTCACTGATACCTACTGTGACCGTGATCATTACCGGTGACCCTTCGATCTACCCATTTATCTATTTATCTATCTATCTATTTATCTACCTATCTATCTATCTACCTATCTATCTATCTACCTATCTATCTATCTATATGTGGATAGGTGACAGTTTTTTTTGGAAAATCCCAATGATACTATCACTAAGATTTGTCATGCACTCGTCTACGAATATCATGAGGATTGGGTGCTAGACATGAAGACATTCTCATTCACAACCACACCTACACCCTCGTAGACACTGGTAGACCTTCTAGATCCTGGTAGATAGCTGTAGACCCTGGTAAATATAGTTAGAATAGGCGAAGGTTTGATTGAATTTTGAATTACTTTATAATTCATTTACGTCATGCACTCCTTTTAATTTCATTTGCAAGAACATGTGTTGCCGGTGTTGAAACAGCTAGGTATGAATTAGGCAAAGCATTAGAAGTAGACCGATGAATCGAAGAATTACCTAGAACTACAGTCGTTGGTGATAAATTGTTCGAAATGATGTTGGGTGTTGAATGAACAGAAGAAATCGCAATTGATTGACGTCGTTTAGATCGTTTAATAAGCTCTTCTTGTTTGTTTTTAAATAGTTTGGTGAGATGCATAATAGATGATTCGATGCCTGGAAGAAGATAAATAGAACCGTTGCTCAAAGTAATGCACATGTTCTTTTTAAGATCAATAAGTTCATCTGATTCAAGATGAAGGATAGCAGTTACATCTTGACAACCAAGAAACGAATCAACACTGTTGCATTCTTGAAAAGAGAGGAGTTCAGCAACTTTTTTCCCTGCAAATTGCCGAATAAAATCATAAAAATTTTCATCACGAAGATCCATAATATTGAATGGCAGAATTTTTGTAGTTAAATTTGAATGTTTCGAGAGAGACATGAAGAAAAACAAAGATGTACAACGATGAGACTGTTCCTTAACGAACGAATAGATGGAAATGAAGTTAAACGAATACAGAGAAACACTTCTTTCCTCTCTTCAACACGCAACCACGTGCATGCACAATAAGAGAATGATATCCAGGTGGTTTTTCGACTGTATACTGTTCAACGTATCCGCTCTACGTGTTAATAACTAGTATGTCAATATATATCACATTAATATAACATTTTAAGATGAATAATAGAAAAGAGACACCAGAGATTTCTCTATTTTGGCAAGCAATCACTTGATTCCCAGTGATTGTCAATGATTTATAATGATTTACAATGATTTACAGTGATTTACAATGATTCTCAATGATTTGTAATGATTTGTAATGATTTACAATGATTTACAATGATTGCTTTGAATGCAATCAGCTTTTCCCCCCTTGATATACATCTATAAATACGACGCAATTTACGGTTGAGAGACTATTTTAATATTGACAGGTAAGAAAAAAAATATCGAGAACGATGGCGCTCTGTAGGTTTTTTTGGGAAGATTTTTCATTTTCTCTACGCAGGCTTTCATGTGATGTACAGCTGTATTTGATTTTCTTCCGATAAAGTAAATAAGATTTTGTCCGTTCGATAAGTTATATGTTCTATGAGCGCAATACGATGGTTATTGAAATAAATGTAAAACTTTGAGATTTTATATCATACAAATAATGTGAATATGCAAGTCGATAAATTCTATTTTTTTACATCAATAATCAATATATTTATTGTCGGGAATTCCCAGTCTTCATAGTAATTATTATCAATCTTTAAACGTTCAGTGAGAAAAACAACGAAAAACAAAAATATAATATGTCTACAAGAAATTCGAAAGTGTTGCAAAACATCAGAATCATACGTATTTAATAGATACTTAAAGTAATCTTCACAATATGAGAGGCCTTATTTGAGAAGAATATTTCAATATCAGTATTTGCCTTACAAAGAGAAAGCCACTTATTCAAAATTGTGTACCTCAATTTCGTGATCTAACCGATGCATCATATTCATCGAATATGATTGACACTTATTTTTATTCGTAACGAAAATAAAACTAAAGCATAGCAGTAGTCACAAATATTATCATCATAATATTCATAAAATAATATAATATACTAATAATATTTTTCCTGTTTATATCGAAGAAATAATCGCAGCTTTTATTCAACATATAAATATTTTATCTAATTTTCACTGTCAAATAAGTTACTTAAAATCATGTAAATTTATTTTCACGTAAGCAATGTGATATTTCTTCTATATTTATTTCAGCCAAGAGAAAAAAAAGCAAATGTCATTCGAAGGGTGTGTGTGGGGTGTGTGGGTGTGGGTGTGGGCGTGGGTGTGGGCGTGGGCGTGGGTGCATATATATATATAAGAATATTTGGTTTCTTGTTATTCAAATAAAACTTATCTTTTTCTTTTACACTCTCTCGAGATTGAAGATAAATAATTAAAAGATTTTTTTTCGTTTTGGTAGAGTTTATTCACCGGTTTCTGTCAAGTTGAAACTCGACTTCATCAGAAACTACATTGAAAAAAACTTTTACAAAAATATTATTACAACAACAAACACGAATTCTACGGGTCTAAGGGACCTCGTAGATGGTTCAAGTAAAAAATGTTTTTATTTTAAAACGATGAAAAAATTGCATTTAGTCCATAGTTGTTCATGTTTTGTCACTGGTGCCAACTTGCTGCCACCACAGGTACGATTTCACCAGAAGGATTTCACTAGAAGGATTTCGTGGTCGTTTTCATTGGAGGTATTCGTGGTTGTTGGTGTTGTTGTTGGGCACTATGTTTTCACTGTCAATATAAGACGATCTGATTTCTTTTTAACTAAGTAATCATGTATAGATTATGCAGTCTTTTAGAAGCGACAATTGGCGTTATGTTAGTGATACTTGTATCTGAAAAACAATCGTCCCATAATTTATGAAAAAGGGTCGAAAAATCTTTCATTCCTTTACAAAAGCAGAAGTGACAAAAAATTGTTGCTTCAAAATCTATTCTAGCCTTCTTGGGCTCTTTACTGAAGTCTTCAAGAAAGATTTTCCTTATATCGGAGTAGTTCCTTCTTGTAGGTACTACGCATCGAAAGGATTGTGGAACTCTTTTGAGTTGATCAAGAATAGAATCTTTTGAATATTTGTTGAGCAATAGAGACACAATTATGTGTGCTTCTTCACATTTGAAAGCGTCGCAACTTGATGAGTATCTTATTGTTCTTACAAGAGCTGCATAAGAAATATTCTTCTTTATATGTTTTACGTGTACGCTTATGAAAGGGAGAAAATATGGTTCATGTGACGCTTTATGAAAAACCTCAGATATCAAAGAGGCTCCTCTATTTTCTATTTTTAGGTTCAGGCATTCTGCTGTGTGTCCGATGGATGCTGATGGATTAATATTGATATCAAGCTTATTCCAATAGTTCACAAGTACGGGTGTCACTTTAACTTTAACTTTACAGTTTAGAGTTTTACTTTAACTTTAATTTTAAAGAAAAGTTAAAGTGCCACTCCCTATTCACAAGACCTTTAAGTGTATCAACATATGCATTAGACATGATGAATAGATCATCAATATATCTGTAGTATAGTGAATTTTTTCTAATAGCCCATTTAGATATTGGCCGTTCTACAAAATACATATATGCATTTGCTTTTGTGAGAGTGAGTGGAGAACCCATCGCTGCTCCTCTTATCTGTTTATAATATAAGCCATCTAAGTGGAAATAATTGTTGGTCATGACCAAACTGGCAAGAGATAATATAATCTCTTTTTTAACGCCATCGATTTGTTTTATTTTTGATGCTTCCACCAGTTTTCTTATGGCTTTGATTCCGCCTTCTTGAGGAATCCTTGTATATCGAGTGTCCCAGGAATAATGAGCCTCTCAGTATTTTACCAATATCTCCGTCAGTTTTCGTCGCACAGATTTAACTCTTTCACCAAAAGATTCTTCATTCAGTTCTATACAAAACCGTATAAAATGTTTTAATGTAAAAAGGAACCGTGAAAGATTCTAGGCTACAGGCTACAAGACACCAAAATGATGAGTTTTGTAACTGCGTTTTTTTCAAAAAATAATTATCTTTTATCTATGATTTGCCAGGCGCCTAGTTGTGCTCGTCCCTGCTTTTCGATATTTTCAAATATCTTCGTTCTCATGATCTTTAATGTAGGCCGTTTGAACAGGATAGTACTATACAAATGGTCATATTTCTTACAAAACAACGTGAAATCGTCGAAATTCGTTTTATCAAGCCACATTTTTATACAAAGCAAAGCATATATACAAGCCATTGCATAGGCTTGGTGGGCTAATCATTTGCCCTAAAATGAGCAACAATAATTTAGCATAAAAAGTTAGTTTAGGACATAGGCGTCGCGTCGAAATTTTCCAAAGTAACGCCAAAGCCCTGCCGAAAAATTCGAAATATGTGGAAAAGAAAAAGCTTGACTGTATCAGAACTAAAGTGTTATATGGAATTTTTAATTCCCATCAAGAAAGAGTTTTTCTAGGGCTACACAATCACTCATTCAGTTTTTCTGGATATCACACATTTCACCACCGCTAAGNGGCTTAAAATAGTTGTACATTGACTTTCTGCAACATCAATCGGTATAAACCACGGATATAATTGTTTGTTGGTAATATTCCTTTTCTTTAACTCATAGAATGTTAATGCCAGTAATATAGGTATTTTCATAGTTAGAATAGGAAGGTAGTTCTAATTCTTCCTTATTATCAAGATGTCGACAATAAGGAATTACATGATCGTTATGAACACAATGCCCAACATTTTCTCTACCTTCATCAACTAAATAATCATACAAACAATTGAATGTGATTAAAGAAGTGTGACGAATATTAGAATGATATAAAGAATAATCACTATTGATTGCAATGCAACATATCAGAAGTAACAGTGTGTATGATAACAAAACAGTTTTCAACATCAAAACAATATACTGATAGTTTTTTCTTTGTCTTTTTTTCTGTTAACACTGAGCAGATCTGTTTCCTGATAAATAGTACAAGGAATAAAAGAAGAAGATAAATTGACGCTGTTCAGTTGAAAACTTTCGCATATGGTTTTGGAATGATAATAATGATTGTGGAGACGTAAAATATGTGCATGACAAAGGAAAATTCGCTATCATATTCATAATTGTCTTCATATCGGTGTCACAAATACGGCATAAGCTTCATACAGAAATGTAGTTTTGAGCACAAATAAAATATAGTTAACACTATGCATGCGTTGAACAAGGGTGTATATATATATAGAAGAATAGTTGGTTTATTCTTATTCAAAGAAAACCTATCTTTTTCTTTTATACACTCTCTCGAGATTGAAGATAAATAATTAAAAGTTTTTTTCGTTTTGGTAGAGTTTATTGACCGGTTTCTGTCAAGTTGAAACTTAACTTCATCAGAAACTACATTGAAAAAACTTTTACAAAAAATTATTATTACAACAACATAAAAGAAAGAAAAAGAATACTACGGATCTGAGGGACCTCGTAGATGGTACAAGAAAAAACTACATCTAGTCCATATTTGTTCATGTTATGTCAATGGTGCCAACTTGTTGTCCCCACAGGTACAATTTACCAGAAGGATTATTGAGAATTTTGTGGTCGTTTCCGTTGGAGATGTCCGTGGTTGTTGGTGTTGTTGTAGGGCACTGTTTTTGCATTGTCAACATAAGACGATCTGGTTTCTTTTTAACTAAGTAATCATGTAGATTATGCAGTCTTTTAGAACCGACAATTGGCGTTATGTTAGTGATGGCTGTATCTGCAAAACAATCGTCCCATAATTTATGAAAAAGGGTCGAAAAATCTTTCATTCCTTTGCAAAAGGAGTGTGAACAATGAGATAGAGTTGGTTATGAAGAAAATCAATAGAAGGTTCGTTGAACATGGATGGGTACTACCGAATCAACGGTTACAGATTTTCAAAGATTCACTCGAAAAGATCTTGACCGATTGCCACGATAGACACCCTCCTTCAGAAGAATTAAAACAATTAAACACCTTAAGAAATAAAATCGATGAAACAAAAACAATCATAAGAAAAACAGATAAATCCAAAGTTTTCCATCTAGGAAAACTGGATGATTATAAGGAGAAAGCTCGAGCATATATGAATCAGACTCAAGCATATCAAGATTTGGGTACAAGCAACCCACTTGAATCTCTAGTCAATAAAACAAACGATTTCTTATATGGTTTATGGAGAAATAAACATATTACACAGAAGCAATATGAAAGACTAAAGGTAGAAAAAGAACAGACTGAAATAGCTCACCTGTACTTCCTGCCAAAAGCTCATAAACCTAAGACACCATTAAGACCAATAATGGCAGGTTTGAAATCGCCTACTATAGCCATATCAAGATGGTTAGACGGTCTATTAAGACCTCTATTTAATCGATTAGCAAACGAGACAACCATTCTCAATGGTAGTCAACTCGTTAAACAAATCGAACAATGGTCAGCTAAATATCTGACATCCACCACATCATTTATAACAATGGATGTGACTGACTTATATACAATGATTCCTCAAGAAGGCGGAATCAAAGCCATAAGAAAACTGATGGAAACATCAAATATAAAACAAATCGATGGCGTTAAAAAAGAGATTATATTAGCTCTTGCCAGATTTGTTATGACCAACAATTACTTTTACTTAGATGGCTTATATTATAAACAGATAAGAGGAGGAGCGATGGGTTCTCCACTCACTCTCACAATAGCAAATGCATACATGTACTTTGTAGAACGGCCAATATCGAAATGGGCCATTAGAACAAACTCACTATACTACAGATATATTGATGATCTATTCATCATGTCTAATGTAGATGTTGATACACTTAAAGGTCTTGTGAACCATTGGAATAAGCTTGATATTAATATTAATTTATCAGCATCCATCGGACACACAGCTGAATACCTAGACCTAAAAATAGAAAATAGAGGAGGTTCTTTGATATCTGAGGTTTTTCATAAGGCATCACATGAACCATATTTTCTCCCGTTCACAAGCGTACACGCAAAACATATAAAGAAGAATATTCCTTATGCAGCTCTTGTAAGAGCAATAAGATACTCTTCAAGTTTCGACGCTTTCAAACGTGAAGAAGCACACATAATTGTGTCTCTATTACTCAACAAATATCCAAAAGATTTTATTCTTGATCAACTCAAAAGAGTTCCACAATCCTTTCGATGCGTAGTACCTACAAGAAGGAACTACTCCGATATAAGGAAAACCTTTCTTGAAAACTCCAGCAAAGAATCCAAGAAGGCTAGAATAGATTTTGAAGCAACAATTTTTTGTCACTTCTCCTTTTGCAAAGGAATGAAAGATTTTTCGACCCTTTTTCATAAATTATGGGACGATTGTTTTTCAGATACAGCCATCACTAACATAACGCCAATTGTCGGTTCTAAAAGACTGCATAATCTACATGATTACTTAGTTAAAAAGAAACCAGATCGTCTTATGTTAACAGTGCAAAAACAGTGCCCAACAACAACACCAACAACCACGGACATCTCCAACGGAAACGACCACAAAATTCTCAATAATCCTTCTGGTGAAATTGTACCTGTGGGGACAACAAGTTGGCACCATTGACATAACATGAACAAATATGGACTAGATGTAGTTTTTTCTTGTACCATCTACGAGGTCCCTCAGATCCGTAGTATTCTTTTTCTTTCTTTTATGTTGTTGTAATAATAATTTTTTGTAAAAGTTTTTTCAATGTAGTTTCTGATGAAGTTAAGTTTCAACTTGACAGAAACCGGTCAATAAACTCTACCAAAACGAAAAAAACTTTTAATTATTTATCTTCAATCTCGAGAGAGTGTATAAAAGAAAAAGATAGGTTTTCTTTGAATAAGAATAAACCAACTATTCTTCTATATATATATACACCCTTGTTCAACGCATGCATAGTGTTAACTATATTTTATTTGTGCTCAAAACTACATTTCTGTATGAAGCTTATGCCGTATTTGTGACACCGATATGAAGACAATTATGAATATGATAGCGAATTTTCCTTTGTCATGCACATATTTTACGTCTCCACAATCATTATTATCATTCCAAAACCATATGCGAAAGTTTTCAACTGAACAGCGTCAATTTATCTTCTTCTTTTATTCCTTGTACTATTTATCAGGAAACAGATCTGCTCAGTGTTAACAGAAAAAAAGACAAAGAAAAAACTATCAGTATATTGTTTTGATGTTGAAAACTGTTTTGTTATCATACACACTGTTACTTCTGATATGTTGCATTGCAATCAATAGTGATTATTCTTTATATCATTCTAATATTCGTCACACTTCTTTAATCACATTCAATTGTTTGTATGATTATTTAGTTGATGAAGGTAGAGAAAATGTTGGGCATTGTGTTCATAACGATCATGTAATTCCTTATTGTCGACATCTTGATAATAAGGAAGAATTAGAACTACCTTCCTATTCTAACTATGAAAATACCTATATTACTGGCATTAACATTCTATGAGTTAAAGAAAAGGAATATTACCAACAAACAATTATATCCGTGGTTTATACCGATTGATGTTGCAGAAAGTCAATGTACAACTATTTTAAGCC